TCTCTCAATTATTTTTGTTTTGTTTTGTTTTTTCGAGACAGGGTTTCTCTGTGGTTTTGGAGCCTGTCCTGGAACTAGCTCTTGTAGACCAGGCTGGTCTAGAACTCACAGAGATCCGCTTGCCTCTGCCTCCTGAGTGCTGGAATTAAAGGTGTGCACCACCACCGCTCGGCGTTCTCAATTATTTTTGTTAAATGGAAATTGTTTGCTCCTTGAAATTTTGACTTCACCCCTGTTACATCTGCTCAATCATTTATGTTTTTGTGTTCATGCTTCATATTTGTTTCATGAGCTGAGCATTTTCTAAACATTGATATGAATGGAATTCTTGCTGCAATTTGGAAATATGTGTGTGTGTGTGTGTGTGCGAGCCTGTGTGTGTGTGTGTGTGTGTGTGTGTGTGCCAGCTATACTCCTTGTGAATCTCTCAGCATTCAAATAAATCCAAACAATGGAAACAACCTGAAGGTCACAGTCAAGGTCAGTATTAAAATAAAAACTGCTTTTTATTGGACCTAATCAAAAAGTCCCCCTCACATTTGAATAAGAAATTATGATTTGAACATATGTTTTCTGAGCATACATATGAAAGCACCTTGATATAAGGCTTCAAGAACGAGATGACGATTAGTATGTTGAATTGGTACACCATCCAGAGATTATGATATATTCAGAGAACACAGTGAAATAGAATGACTCTCACAATAGGGAAATCATCATGCATTCCTGCATGCATTAGAAAAGGAATGAATCTAACAATATGGGAAATTATCACATGTTTTGCCTAGATTTGGAAAGCAAGGGAAGTCCAACGTCCTCCAAATTTCTCAGACGTGCTGGACAGGTGTCCTCCTATCTCTTCTTGATCTCCTGCCAATATAGGAATGTCCTATTCATTGGAGAGGATCATGTAGATTTTCTGGGAAGAAATCATTTCTTTCTCCACTTTTGAGTGTTTCAATATGGAACAGCCAATTATTTCAAATCAATATAACATGCATGCTTCAGTACATTGCTTTTCAGAGGTAATGTATTGAAGCAAACAGTTAGACAGTTTTAACATGCTACAAATTGTACTTTCCATGAAATTTAGGAGATCAAAGCCAGGCTGCACTTTTATTTCTATTCCTTCAAAATTTAAGAGTGGTAGCCATGTTCTGGAAACATCAAAGTTCTTAGAGAACCTCCTACCTGGACCTCAGATTGGCATATCATGAGTCAATCACCGTCCTCAGAGACTTTTTGTCATCATCGATCCAGGGAAGACAGCTCTTAAACCATGAGCATTCCAGTGACATGGAAACAAAGCAAAATGGTCACGAGAATATATTCCTACAAATCAAAGTCCTTGAACTCCTGAAGTCATAGATGTTGATTTTTAGAAATCCGAAGTCTTAGTGAAATATTATTGAGAATACAGATAGATACTCAGTGCTTACCACTTCTTCCAGAAAAAGAGGTGATGTTCAGGGTTCTATTCTGGAAGAAATGAGAAATAAAATTATTGAGGATGGAATTGTCTCCACAGAAATCTGTCTTCCTTGCTAGCCGCAGCCTGCACACTCTCAACACTTTCCCACCCTAAAATAAAACCATTGGCTTGATACATTCTCCACTTCATTTTGTATTGTGTTTCAATGACTACTTTCCTTCTTGATCGCTTCTTTGTAAATGTGGCATTCTATGTACATTTGCGACAGAAAGAAGTGGCTGGGAATTGTTTCTTTTTATTATAATGATGACAGATTTACTCTAGCAATAAGAGGACATGGCAAGTAGATCTCAAATAAATTGGTCCTCACAATATTCTTACCGGGACTCAGAACAAAATGAACATGTATTAAGCAGGAAGAGTCCTGACTATATCTATGCTGTGCTTGCCATGTGATTTAGATGACTTGGCCAAGGAACTATTTGCTTCGATGTGTATCATATTAGGATTTATCATGTGAGTCTGTGTGTCTCCCTTGCAAAGCAAGAGCACCATGGAAGGAAAGGTGAGACCAAGATGTCATGCAAAACCCAAATATTGTCAGACCTTGGGCAATTGAGCTTTCTGCTGAGCTGTGTAAGCTACTTGATATGTTAGGAGCAAAAGGTTTATTTCCTTTTGATGAAGCAAATACTACATGAACTTCAAAGTTGGATTGCAACAGTGAACTCTTTGTGTATTTTGTGTTTGAGAATGATTAATATCAAATATAGACCAGGAGAGGTTCTCCATTCAACTTTACTATCCAGGTTCAATGTTGGTGGAGCTCTGTATTTGACCCAATCTACTGTGGATCCTCAGGATTTTCGTTCACCTTGTTTCCATGAAAGATAATTTATTTCTTTGATTTTTTTTGCCTTTCTGATGGTAATTGTTAGTTTAGAGAAATGTTTGACTTCACCCCATTAAAATTTTGATAAGTAAGGTATCTAAGGCAGTTTTATGCTCCTTATGGGTCTGATCCCCATATTTTCTCCTCAGTTTTCCATTTTGGACGAATGGAACTCAAGGAAGTGCTTCTTGAAAGAAGGAATTGGACCTATGTTCCAACTGTGAAGTTTGTGAATCTCTCAGCTTGCTTATAAATCCAAACAATATAAAGAAACTGTAGGTCATATTTACAGAGGAGCCGTATAGCAAAGTTGTTGGAATTTTCCCAGGTTGTCCATTTGGAATGCAGTTCTGGACACCGAGGCCTAAGGGTTTTCACATTCTAGGTATCAAGCCCCAAACTACTGTCTCCTGGGTTTCTAACTTGAGTATCTTTTCATAGAGTTTCAAAAATATGAACAGGTAAAGGAACAGGGCATGGAATGATCAAGGCAGTTGGGGTAATCTTTTTACTTACCTGAAGAAACATGTGTTGACATGTGCTCCAAGACTGTGTCCCTGGTCACTAAGGGCAGAAGATATGATGGTATGTGAGCAGGGCTTCAGACATGGAGAAGGCTCAAGAGCAATGTTTGACATGAGGTGCAATTGGAGGGAGCACTCAGTGTTCTCCTTAAGTCATGCACCTGGACCGATGGGGCAAGACAGTATGGGGATATTGGCCTGCACACTGGCCCAAGCAGGCCCCAGGTAGACCAGGCCCCCCATTGCCCCCGTCATTTAGTCTTGGCCTCAGTGTAATCCTATTGAGCATGATTTTTATGTCATCATCTCTCTTCGTGACATTGGTTTGTCATCATTGACCCAGTTCTCGAGAGATCAAAGCTCCACCTGGGGTTTAGACAAAGCACCATTGCTTACCAGTGCCGCAAACAGTGTCTAGGAGGTATGTATTGACATTGTTGTCACAAAGTTTCAGCTTGATCGATGAAATTCTCTGATTTGATCAGAAGCCCTTCTGTTCTTGTTAATGGCTTCTTTGGGAAAGAAGAAACAACATGTTTTCAGGGCCATCGTTGGCGTGCCCTTGATGACCAGCAAAGGACTGCTGATGCTGACCAGGGCCTGACAGCATGATGCCATGGCAAATGATAATTGTGGCACATGAGAGGGCACTGATCAATGGCCTGAAGAGGAGTACCAACCCAGAATGATGGCCGCTTTTTTAGCCTCCCAAGCAAAGTTCAGTCATTCAGGAGCATGCTTTTCATGCTGACTAGTCTGATTGCTAGCATGAGACTGCTGCCTCTCATCAATCATTAGTCAGGGATTTGATAATTTTGAATCTTGCCTCTCCAGCATCAGGTCTACTAATGTCTTAGACTTGGCATCCAATTGACATGCTACAAGTGTGTCACATTCAACTCTGACTACCAAAGTCCACACACTAATGAAGAAAGTATTACAGTTGTTATTGCACCATCAGAGATTGTGGTGGTTCCTGCCTACTCCTCATCTCTGTGGATATTCCTAGTCCCAGGCAGAATTGTGAAGGCAATGTCTTCCAGGGAAGATGGTTATGCATGGGGCTGATAGGCACTGCCTCTGTTGTGTGCTATGAACTTCTCAAAATGAGGCTGCCTTAATGGCTCCATTACCATGAAGAGACCATCTGTCCTGTTAGAGCATCCAGAATTGTCTCCCTTTTTTACTAGCTGAAAGGTAGGTCAAGTTCTTTAAATCACAGGTAGAGGAGGTAAGGCTGAAGAAGCCTAGGTGCCATTTGATATTCTAGTTTTCCCTCTATGGAATTAGCACTGGGAAAGAACTCTGGACTGACAAATGTGTCCCAGACATGCCAAATGGCTATTCATTCCTGAAGTCCATTAGGGCAAGGTATTAGCTTCGATAGCCACTGCCAAAGCTGACTAGAACTTCTTTTTCTGCCACTCCCAATCTGAATTATCAGTTTATGGAGGAGGTTCATCTGTCTATGTGTTACTTTCATTGGTTAATATAGAAACTGCCTTGCAATTTAGATAGGGCAGAAAATTAGGTGGGTGGAATAGCCTAAAGAGAATACTGGGAAGAAGGGAAGTGAGGCAGATGCGAGGAAGCTCTGACCCAAGGCAGACTTAGGTTAGAATCTTCCCAGTAAGCCACTATACCTCATGGTGCTAAACACATTAATAGAAATGGGTTAATCAAGATGTAAGATTTAGCCCTTAATACTCTAGAGCTTATAGGCCAGGCAGTGTTTAAATGAATACAATTTGTGTATTGTTATTTCACGTGTAAAGCTATTTGTGTGGGAGCTAGGTGGGACGAAAAGCAGGCCTGCTTACCTCCTCACTACAAATGGCGCCCAACATGGGACTCGAACCCATGACCCTGAAATTGAGTCTCATGCTCAAAATGATTTACTGTGTATTAAAGTGTATGTAGGCTAAAGGGTAAAGTTCTTAAAGTAAAAAAAGAGAGTAGTCGGGTATGGTGATACACACCTTTAATCCCAACTCTTGGGAGGCAGAGGTAGATTGACCTCTGTGACTTCAATGTGTGGCAGGACACACCTTTAAACCCAATGTCTGGGAGGCAGAGACAGAAGGATCTCTGAGAGTTCAAGGACAGCCTGGTCTACAGTGTTATTCCAGGACAAAGATATACAGAGAACCTGTCTCAAAAAATAAAAGTAAAAAGAAATGAAATAGAGGTTAAAATAAAGCCACACAAATACGGAAAATACACAGAGAATCTAGATACTGTATGCTATTATGCACTATTTGAATTGTTTGAATGCTGAGGAAGGAGCAATAGATGCTAAAAGATATTTGTTTATAAATGCTGCTGAACTAATCCAAGATAGGTATTGTGAAAATACCTTGACTTCAAAATTTGGATCTAAGGTTATGATGCTTTGGAAATGGTCTTCTTTTGTTTTCACAGAGGAAGAAGCCCTTTGGATTGCTTCTATTCCAATATGGTATGATGGACCACGCCCTCCTGAAAGATTGCTGTGAATGCCTTCAAAAAATTACTTCACTCAACTGCTGACTGAGCTGAATCTAACACACAGGTTACACCATGAAAGATCTGAATAACAGCGCCTCCATTCGGCACTAAGCAGTTTGGAGAGAAACAACTGTGCCCATATTCCCAAATCTTGTTTATAAATGTTCTTTGACATTTAAAGGGGGATATTTTATAGATATGAATAATTTGCATTGGGATGGATTTTAAGGTCAATTTTGCTATATGTATATGTATTTCTGATCTTGATTAAGGTATTGTGATTGTGTAGTTCCTTTAAAATGTGATTTATATAAATTGTTAATAGATAATCATCAATAATAGTCAAGCTTGTATTCATGTTAGATTTTCAAGATGTGCATAGATATATTTCTGATAGGCATTCTTCATATCTTTCAAAGACTACAGAATATGGCATTTAATGTTTTAATAATTCAGGGCTTTTCATGACAATGAGACACGTCTGCTCCTGGCAGCACCAGCTACTTCAAGAGGAAGATGGGCATCAAAGAGGCTCCTTATGGAGTTGGTTAGCCATTTGGGCAAGAAACTGCTCTTGCCTGGACTGTTGCATAAACTGGACACAGAGAACCCACAGAGAGAGGACTGCTGAACTTGCATAAAGGTCAGATGTTCTATTGGGGTTCCTGATTCATGAAATAGTCTGTGAGACATTCTGCAAGACACAGCAGATAGTGTGTTAACTGCCTTTGAAATTTCCTGCTTCATCTCCTGTCTGCTAGAAACTATGGGCCTATAGGCTGAAGATGGATGCCCCAACGGAACAATAAAACTTTGGGTGACTGTCCAGGGAGCGAGTTGTCTCTGTCAATTCTAGAGTTTGGAAGTTGCTTGTTTCTTGTTTACATACATAGTATTATATCCTTCTGAAGTCCTTGATGGAG